AGCATGGTCGCAAGCAGGACTTGAGAAACTCTTTCCACGTCCTACTCAATGAATGCGGTGAGCATCCGTGCATTGATGCTCCGGAACAAGTTATGAATATTTGTATATTTCTAGCATATTCTATGTATGTAGCTACCAACCTACCAACAGAATATAACGACCGCACGGTGTCGAGGCACCGTGTACCCACCGTGTACCCACCGTGTTTTCCACGGCCGTGACCGTCTAAGCACCGTGTTTTATACGGCCGTGACCGTATTAACACCGTGTTTTTCACGGCCGTGGCCGTGTGTCACACGGTTCGGAGCCCTATGTACCGTCCGCCAACTTAAGATCCTGTATTGTACATAGTACATAGTACATTAGTACTGTGAACTGTGAACGTGACCAGTAGTCCTAAGTCCACACTTCAAAAAACATCAAGCGACCGTTTGAAGACCCAACAAAAGTGACCACTGCAGGACTCGAACCTGCAACCTTTTGGTACGTAGGGCGATCGAAGCCAAACGCGCTACCATTGCGCCAAGTAGCCTTGCTTCAGGGGTTTATGGGATGACCCTCGATATTTTTTATGTGTAGTGAGCACGCATGTATAATAGTATTCAACTCTTAATGGATGCTACTACCGTTCTGAGTATTGGAAGATACCAGCGCGATGATTCGCAAACTTAAGCGCAAGGAAGACGCGTTTGCCTGCCACGATCGAAGTCGACTCATTTCATCTAGTTCGTTTCTTGACCTGGAACCACGATGAGCACAACTACTTACATGCTCGAACATTTCGCTTGATCCACGATTTTCTCTTCCCGAACCCGTCTCAGACGTATAGCCAGCTCAGACGCATCTGGTGATGTGGTTGATACTTCAGATCTCCAGCTGCTGAGGAACCGGCCCTGTCTCATCCGTGCGCGCCATGCTTGTAGAGGGATCTGGACATCTAGCGATATCATTGCTTTTCCTTCGGTATGAAACGATGATGGGCTGGCTACATCTCTATTCGTATACTCACTCGCTGGCCTCGTACGCTCCTCGTCTGGTTCGGGACTCGTGCCGCTACCGGGATACACGACGCTTCCAGGATACTTAGACAACGCTACGACGGAAACCCACGCGCATTTCTTTACCTCCATAAGGAATCACACACGCTTATTCCCCCGAGTGCCTGCAGATTATTGTCGAGTGCCTCATTCAAAGCGCACGGGCATCTTGGGAATGCGACCTGGGCTGCATCTTTGGGCATCGCTTTGGAGGTTCCTTACCAAAATATGAACCTCGACACATTGGCTCGACATACTCTTACAGGTACCTAGGGTTGAATGCTGTATAAAAGGGAGATGTAGACGCGTCCTATGAATTCTTCAAGGACTCGATCTTCGCTAAAGACTTCATCCTTCGAAGCTAAAGACTTCATTCCTCGAAGCTACGGTCTCCATCCTTCGACGCCAAGGCCTTTCCTCTCCTTCCATACTTTCCTTTGCAATGTTCGTCAGCAAATTCACCACATCCCTTCTTGCCTTTGCTTCGGCCGCACTCGCCTTACCCACCTCCACCTCCACCTCCCTCGCGGCGCGCGCGTACTCTGGTGATGGTGCGTGCACGCCGTACTCAATGTATATTTCTCGTGCTAACGAGGACGTAGTCACGTACTACGATACAGGCCTCGGCGCATGCGGTGTCAGCAGTAGCAACTCGGAATACGTCGCTGCGGTGTCGCTTTCGTTTTTCAATAGTTATCCGTACGTCCTTCCTTTCCTCTCCCTTTATCCTGTCTCGCGTTGATATTGACCATGAATTGACAGTGGTGCGACGGCAAACCCTAACCTGTGAGGACCTCTTCTTCCTCAGCTCGACGGACGTGGGAACTTACCTCTGTTGCTTTAGGAACCCGATCTGTGGAAAGGTCATTCGTATCACTTGTACGTTTTCCCTTCTCCTCTTTCTCTCCTTCCCACTTCGTCCCATACTGTCGTTTTCCAACATCTACTACCTCTTCCCTCTTACAAACAAACAAACAAACAAACACTTACTTTGAACTGAACAGACGGCTCCCGCTCCGTCGACGTCACCGTCCGAGACAACTGCCCGACCTGCGCGCTGTACGACCTCGACATCACGCTCGTCGCGATGCAGCAGCTCGTCGACAACCCCGTTGGCGTTGGGCGCATCACGTCTGGGATTTCGTGGGACTTTGTCGGCGGGTCTGGTGGAGGAAGCACTGGTGGAGGAAGTGGTGGAGGAAGTGGAGGTAAGTTTACTTTCCTGACGCCGAGTCGCTCGTGCCATGGCTGTATGTTGACTGCGATACCAGGAAGCTGCAGCGGCACAACCGCCTGGTCCGCCTCCGCCGTGTTCACGGGCGGCATGACAGCGTCGTACAATGGGTTCGTCTGGACTGCGAAGTGGTGGACGCAGGGAGAGGTTCCGGGGACGACTGGTATGCGTTTCTCTTCCTTCCTCCTTGCTTGCTTCCGTTCTTTCCTTCCTTTCTCCTTCGTTTCTTTCTTCTTTTGTGTGAGGGTCTTTGCTAATGCGTGGATAATAGACGTCTGGACCAAAGGCGCAGCGTGTTAAAAGGCTCAGTGCTCAAGCGCTCAAGTTCTGCTCACAGAAGCCAACGAGCGCGCACATTCATTCATTCATTCATTCATTCGTTGGATTTGCTCTCCAAGGGTAAAGTTGGTATTTATCAGGGTGTATAGGGGATATACGCAGTGTGAATTTATTTAAACTTACATATGTATGTATGCAGGTACGAGCTTTTATTTATTATCGATCCGTCACTGTTCAAAGTCAGAGTACTTTCTCCGTAGTAATCCCGGCGGGTAACGAACTCCAGCGCATCAGAGTCTGTTTGAGCTTCCACAGATGAAGCTGTCCGTCACAAAGCAGTGTGCAGGAGAAAATGAACAAACTGTGCCCGGAGAGATAATCATAAGTACATACCAACAGACGATGTTGAATCACTTTTTACTTTTTTTTTTTTTACTTTAATCCTTTCTCCTATTACGCGAAGCGTATGTAAGGGGTCTCGGCTAAGTACCTACTCTAAGTAAGTACCCATATTACCCTACGTTTTTCTCTACTTTATGGTCTTATGTACATCTACTCGAGTTTGTACTCGTGAGTCCGTTTCGGAACTCTCCAGGTCTCCCCGTGGGATTCCCCTACTGCGTGTTTGCCTCGTGGTGTCTCTGCTTCGCGTCTGCTATCATGTTCAATCCAACCACCCTTCGCATCTGTTTTTCTCTCTCCATCTCTCCAGCCCCCCTCCGAAGGCTCCCTTCTTCAACCTTCCTGAATCGTGCACATATTTGAGCGTGATCTCCGCCCCCTTCGGTGTGTTGAGCAAGTTCTGCATCGTCGCATCCATCCCCTGTTGTTGCATTCTCTCGAACATGTCTCTTCTGTTCCACTCGTATGTTGAATCACAATGATGCCTACAAGTTTCCCCCGCAGGAAAAGTGAGCCTCTGTCAAATCATTCGCCATCTAGAAACGTAGAAGACAACCATAAGACGTAGCGCGACGACTCTGAGTGTTGTACGAGGTGGAGTGGTTCCCTCATGTGTCCTCTTGTGACACTCACAGTATCTTACATAGCTTTAATCCGATCGACTGTATGTATACTTCAACGCTCATTTCAAGCTGCTGGTACACATATACAGGATTACGCTTTATAGTCTGAGAAGCGCCCACGTCCAATGCTACCAAGAAATAAGAAGAATAACATCATTCAAGGATAAACAAGTCTCCGTCCGTCCATAGTTAGCAGTGCGTCCAAGCACATAGTATACAGCTGCAGCCATAGCATGTTGCAGAGACCAGCATCCATTTTGCAAAGAGGCCTGAGCAGCGCCCCTCCGCCGTTCTCCGAAACAAAAGATCAAGTTATGATTTTTTAAAACAAAAATAGCCAATTCCGTTTTATAGTGCAGAGGACTCGTCCATCGTAAATCGGAGGGGCGGCTGACGCACAATACTTACAAAGTAGAACACAGAACACTCGATACAAGAAAGGTATCACTGTCCGAGAAGGCGACCATTCCACAGTAACCTACTACGTTCTCACGCTCATTCTGTCAAGCTAGCATCATCTTGATGGGATCCTATGGGGTCGTTCATCCCCCGAAGCCGGAGACGGTCCTCTGAGCATGTCAGTGTCAGCTTCTGCGTGTTCAGCTTCAGCTCGATGGTCGCGTTCCCCCTCAACTTGGGGTTGTTCATCAACTTTGCAGCGTCTCTTTCTCGACCCCACCCTGAATCAACTCCGTGAGCATGACAAAGAGTTGATTGAATACGCTACCATGGAATATTGATGATAGAGAACTTGCACACGGAGGGATATCCTCGTTTGCGGGATTGCGTGTGTCGCTAGAACGGGGAGGTTAAGGTTATCAGGGTTGCTTCAGAATAATCCGCGGTACTGGGGGGAGAAAGGCGCGGGGGAAGAAAGGCGCAGCGCCTGGAGAGCACGGTGTTCGACCGGTGTCTGATTCCAGATTAGCATTTTTCTCTCAAAAGCAAGAGACAGAAGCAAAGACGCACTGATACATATGTAATCGCGACACACTGAACAGGTCCCGCGAAATCCCTATGTCTGCAAAGCGGTCATGCATCCGAGTCGTGCCTAGGTGCTATTCTCCTTCCAGAGCCATGTTATCCCATCAATACTGGATGTAAGCTCGCGTCAAGTGAGAAGTACAGAGACACTGATGAGCACCGTGCGGGGAGCCGGGGGCGCTCGACAACATACCAATACTTATTGAACAAGCCTTCGAAGACAAGCCTGCGGCGTGTTGATGCGCTTGTTGCACTTTAAAGCATCAGTATGGGGGTAAGCTTTATCCAGAGCGACTTTGTGAGGAAGATGTACTAAGGCATCACGCCAAGGGCGCATTGATGAGCTTACTCGGCCACGGGAATGCGCCTGGATCCGACATCGGGTGAGGAGGTACGTGGGATATGGACAACAGAGCCGCGAAGTTCAATGAGTCTAAGCATCCAGCATTCTCGTAGGAAGTCGAGACAGGCGGCCCGGCGGTGCCATAATGGTCACTGTACAAAGCGCAGGAGAGGCAAGCAAGTGGTATGAAGTATCCATGAACGCACAATAGTTATTCCCAGTGAGACCGAAAAAAACAATACTTGGGAGTAAGTAGTCTGATACACATTTGAGCACGGAAAAAGAGGAAATTGACTGGCGACGCACTGCATGAAAAATGGCGTAGCCCTTCCAGAACGCGCCCCGCCCACCTCCCGAATGGCAGTGTTCACATCCAGGCCGTTATATCCGCTCGATTTCTCTACGCGTGTCGAATCGTGCAAGCAGGTCACCACCGTTAGATCATGGCGCAAAGCAGCAGAGCAAGTCGCACAGCCACCATCAAACGCGGATTGATCGATGCCGCGGTCTGATGCCGCCCATGCCTAGCTTACTTCCTACCACCTCAGCGCTTTTGTTTGGCGACGGTGCGAGTTTTAAATTCACAAGAAGTCTGGTGCCTCCGTCCGTCATCTCTCTTTCACAACAGTC